GATTCTCACGCTTACCACTGACATGTTGGACTGAATAAATAGTCTACACTGAGTCAGTCTGCCGGATGGTTGCTCCCCTTGCATAGATGGAGAGAATTAAGGTAGAAACTAAAACAAAAACTTCTTAATTCCAAGTGCAAGTTTGGAGAGGAACTCATCCTTTTTCATTTTTAACAGTGTTTTAATGCCAGTATGTTACTTATCATCAGGAATGGTCAGAAGATCCAGCCATTTATATATGTGTGCTGACACTTATCTGTGAATATTAACATCATTTATATATATATATATATATATATATATATTTAATTTTTTATTCTTACACTGAGTCAGTCTGCCCGATGGTTGCTCCCTTGCATAGATGGAGAGAATTAAGGTAGAAACTAAACAAAAACTTCTTAATTCCACGTGCAATGTTGGAGAGGAACTCATCCTTTTTCATTTTAACAGTGTTTTAATGCCAGTATGTTACTTATCATCAGGAATGGTCAGAAGATCCAGCCATTTTATATGTGTGCTGACACTTATCTGTGAATATTAACATCATTATTATATATATATATATATATTAATATATTTAATTTTTTATTTTTTATTCACATGTGGTATATTGTTGGGCGTAACATCTTCTAAACCTCATACAAACCCCTCTCCCCCACCCCCCTGCTTCCAGGCAGAACCTGTTCTGCCCTTATCTCTAATTTTGTTGAAGTGAAGACATAAGCAATAATAAGAAAGACAAAGCATATTTGCTAGTTGAGATAAGGATAGCTATACAGAGAGATTCCTAGCATTGCTTCCTGATATAAATGTGTTTCAACCCAAGTTGATTCTAATGTAACTGACCTTTCACTAGGTCTGATCCCTTCCATATTGACCTCTTGTCGCTTTAAAGGTTTCTGTATTAGTTCCTCTGCAGTGAGAACCAAATACTTTCCTGTTTTGGGTTTTCCTACCTTCTCCCCATTCTCCATATGTGTCTCCCTTAGCGTGTGATCCAAGTCCTACAACATTGCTGTGTTTGCCCTAGATTCAAAAGTCGCATATGAGGGAGAACATACGATTTTTGGTCTTCTGAGCCTGGCTAACCACGCTCAGAATGATGTTCTCCAGTTCCATCCATTTACTCGCGAATGATAAGATTTCATTCTTCTTCATGGCTGAGTAAAATTCCATTGTGTATAAATACCACATTTTCTTGATCCATTTGTCAGTAGTGGGGCATCTTGGCTGTTTCCGTAACTTGGCTATTGTGAATAGCACGGCAATAAACATGGGTGTGCAGGTGCCTCTGGAGTAACTTGTGTTGCATTCCTTTGGGTATATCCCCAAGAGTGGAATTACTGTAAAATCATTATATATTCAGGATTATTCTTCAAATTTTCTCCTAAAATCACTTGTCAGGACTTTAATTCAAAGTATTCTTAAATAAGAATAGCAAGCTGGCTGCTAATTCTATGCAACATGCAAACCAAATTCCAACACTCTCAAAGGTTACTAGCCAAGATCATTGGGTAGTGGCCCCAGCTTTAGCATTAGTGAAGAGAGGAATTGTGCTCTAAAGTACAATTGAAATAGGTGGTCTTAAAAGGTCTTTGATCTCTGAATTTTTAGTTTCTTTCTTTTTTTGCTGGAACACCCAAAAAATTAAGAATTGAGCAATGCATATTTTTTCCAACTGATAATTTCTAAAAAATTCTGGTTTATAAAGAAGCTAATCTTTTGTAATGTTTAACAAACAATTGTTCCAAAGGTAAAAGCATTTAGACTACCTAGAATATGTCAAGTATAGATTATTATATGTTCCTTTATGAAAAACACAGTAAAATCTTTAAATGAGAAACTAAGCTGCCAAAAGAAGAAAAAATTTTAAAAAATTGTACTCATGCCAAAAAACATTAAGTGTTATTTTTGTTTATAGTAAGTTATTTAGGAAATTAATGAATAAATAGTATGAGGATTTTATTCCTCAATTTTTGTAATCATCTGGTTTCCTGTCCTTAGTGAAAATGTTTCTGTAGGATATTTAGAATATATAAGAATACCATTGCTATCACTAGACAAGTGTTGTCACTAACCACACATTGGTTGCCAATACTTCCGTATAAAGAAATCAAAATCTAGATAGTGTACTTCCATTGTTTAAATCACTATCCTCAGAGTCAGAGAAAGGGACTCTGCAAACACTAGTATAAGACTAGCAAAATACTGTCAAATGTTTAAGAGTCAATTTTTGTACTCTAAAGTTTCCAAAATCAAAAGTTGTTTTTCTTGCCATTGTTTTCTAAAAAATTGCATCATCTTCTTTTAAATAAATACACTGATAATTTGCCTCTGTTACTTTAAAGAATTTAACCTCATAATACCCTACTTTTTTCCAAAGTAGTGATTACTTTAGAAAGTACTACTACCTCCAGTATCTCTTGATTTTGTATGCGCGGTCATTCCATTTTATTCTAAAGCACCATTTACTCAATTAACATTCAAAAGTTTTCTCCTGGATTTCTATGCAGACAATCTGCAAAACTTGAAAAAAACATTTGCTTCCTCCGGTCAGATGGTAAGAGATTTCACTTCCTGTGCCAGCTTCAGACAGAGCTTGATTGTGGTGGTGGTAGGGACTATGAAGCTATCACAGAGATTAGCAGATAGTGTTGTCACTAATTAGGGCATGAATTCTGATTTTCAAACTCATGATAAACTGCAGGTCTCCCTCTGGGGTGAGTTCTAAAAATTAGTAGGCGTTTACTATACAATAAAGAAGAGAGAGGAAACAGCGTGTACTAAAGTCTAAACTTCTGTTAGCATATGGGATGTTTGGTTTCCCACACAGACAGCACTTAAGATAAAGTTTACTAAAAGATGCACCGGGTGAGAGTAATCAGGATGAGGAGGACAAGTACAAAATCAATACAGCTGTTAGATCCTGAACACTGACTGTGTGGGACTAGAGCAAATTTAAGCACAATAAACTTGGGCATAATTTAAAAGATATGGTGTACTTTGATGAGATGTTTCCACAAATGTACAACACATACATTACTAATTTCCAAATACTTAAATGCTGACAGACCCATCTCTTATAGTACATTCTTTAATCGACCTAGACACAAACTTGAATTCATGGTGCTAAACCCAATGATGTATATTGTTTTACAATAGGCTTCATTATTTAAAGCAATGTTAGGTTTACAGAAAAATATTTGGTAGAATTCACTGTTAAAACTATCCAGTGCTGGTGCTTCCTGCTTTGGAAGGTTATTAATTCTTGATTTGATTCATTTAACATAGACCTATTCATATTATTTCTTTCTCCTTGTGTGAGCTTTAGCCAATGATGATTTTCTAGTATTTTTCCACTGGGATCAAGTAGATGATCAGAACGCTAATACCATGAGTTAAAGTTCATTAGGAATTAGAAAAACATTCTTTGCTACCCATAAAGGTTCTAATAAATTCTACTGCAGATATTTAATTCACTGAAGGATCAAGTTTCAGATTTGATTATTAAAACATAGAAATTCATTTTAGATCTTCAGTGCCAAAGAATAACAAATTAAGACAACACCAACAATAGTGAGAGGTTTTTCATGTCAGTTAAGTCCAGAAAGCATTTTTTCCAGCATTTCAAAGGAAGATTTAGAGGTAAGGCCTTTTAAAAAGAAATGGGGGAAAAAAAGTTTACTTCAAAGGTTCAAGGGAGTCAGACTTCAGAAAGACTAGCTTCCCAAATGACTAATATAACAGGTACTGAGAAAATATGAAAAAATATTGCCATGGTTACTGAGTTTGCTTTATGTTGTTCAGTTGAATAACAAAATTTTACATGATTATGATATTCAGGAAAGTTTGTTATAATTTACAATATTAGCCATGCAAAAGCCAAGAGTAAATTGTCCGTGCTGGGGAGCCTGGGCATACAAGAAATGCTCATTGTTTTGTTGCTTGGAGGAGCCAGAAATTGGCAGGGCACGTATTACTTCTTGATTACTCTTAGGTACCAAAATGCCTTATCCTGAGTGCCTAGTGTGTACTTGGTTTTCAGAAAAATAAAGGAAATGTCATTACCACAAAATACAAGTAGTGTGTTTCTTATAAGTCTACTCGTTGTATAAAAAACCCAAAGTGGACTCATAAACTCTCACGTCCTGCTTCTACCCATTTCTGCAGCTCTTCCTAGCACACCATACATACTAAGCCATATTCTTACTTGACAACCTTTCGCATAAAGCAGTTATGTTCCCCACATCATCTTGATATTGGCAGGTGAACTTTAGACCATCATAAATTGAACATTTATATATAAGTAGCTTAAATACTATTGTAGCTACAGATGCTCCTGTCAATTTTAAAAAGTTGTTTCCTTATGAAAGAAAGCCAATTACTAGTAATGCTGTTGGAAATTTTTAAAAAAATAAAGATGTCTAGGAAAGTGATGGTTCTTAGTGATAAAACACAAGATTGATGAAATAAATGGCTAAAATATTCTTTTGCATGCCTGCGGTTAGAAACTCTGGTGAGAGTGTGTTTATCTTAAATCTTAATTTTTTCTCTCTCTCATGAATGCTGTGAGGAGTCGGGGGAAAGTACATACACGTACCTATGACTTTCACCTTCTTAAAAAGATTTTAAATTCTGATTTGGTCACTATGTTCACTATCATTCCTTGAAATTTTAGCTATAAGGAAGAAATGTCAAAGCAAGTACACAAAGTCTAACACAGTACCTGATGATCATAGCAGGTACTGGATGCTGGAGAAATGAAACCATTGCAATGACAGATATTCCCTCATTGCAATTTTTAGCAATGTACTTAAGACTATGTGAAAAGAATTCAACTGATTCAGGTCATAAATCTTTCCAGTTACCACTGTATCCCTTAGAAACATAATTTAGCAGGCAGGTATGATCCTTTGAAAGAGTCATGGAAAAACATGAGCGAATCTATTTATAAAAACATGGTGATAACATTCCCTCTTTTTTTTTTTTTAATTTCAAAGGTGTCCTTGAATGGCCATTTTGGACAAAACTGGTTGTGGTGGCCATTGGTTTCACAGGCGGTCTCGTCTTCATGTATGTACAGTGTAAAGTCTACGTTCAGTTGTGGCGCAGGCTGAAGGCCTACAACCGTGTGATCTTTGTGCAAAATTGCCCAGACACTGCCAATAAACTGGAGAAGAACTTCTCATGTAATATAAACACGGACATCAAGGATGCTGTGGTCGTGCCTGTATCACAAACAGGTACAAATTCACTGCCATCTGCAGAGGGTGGCCCCCCTGAAGTTATACCAGTTTGATGGAACAAGATGGGAGTCACTTCACTGCAGGATACCTTTCTAGCCCTCAGCCACTACAAACAGAAGTGATCCAGCATTATTCACCCTCATATTTTCTCCTTTCTCCTACTGACTCATGATTCCTTACTTTGCTCCAAAAGAAAGGAGGAAAAGACATCAAATGACTAGGATCCTGTGAAGCAGAGCCTAACGTGGGATATGGAAATGAAGTTTACTAGAAAATGATTTCTAAGACAATAAAGAATCATTGGTTCAAGGAATGTGTTCAGGCAATGATGGATGATTGAATGGATCCATGATACTCTTTACAGCAGCAGGGGAAGAGTTCAAGAACACAGACTTTAATGTGTTTCTTCTTGGGGCCATGTAATGTGAGCCATCTCAACTGCAAAGAACAAACGTATTTGGTCTTAAGTCGGAAACTGTCTGCATTATCCCTCAGTCACAATGGAAGCAAGCTTGGAGGATGTGTTTTTTGATATACATTGACAGTTGATTTTTATGGCTATTGTGGAGTCTGGTTATTTTGACAGATGCATGTGTTAAAAATGTATGCAATACACAATTGAAGATAGAAATATTTGGAATTATGTTTAAATCATGAACAAAAGATTTTCAGAGAATTTTTGGGTTTAATTAGCTCTGTTAAATACTCCCAAAAGATGAATTAGGCTATCAGGTCGTATATTTTATCTGGTTTTTCTAATACCGTGCTGTACAATGGGCATATGACACAAGATACAAATATAGGCCACAAATGAAAATTTTTAATTTCCTAGAAGCCAAATTAGAAAAAGCAAAAATGAATAGCTTAATTTTGATTTTTATATAGCATTATACCTACAAATTATTTCATGTCATCAGTGTAAAAACTTGAAATCATTTACATCTTTTGTTAATCAAGTCTTCAAACTCCAGCTTGCATTTTGCAGCACATCTCAACTTGAATTGGCTCTACTAGATAGCACAGCCCTAAAACTAGAGATGAAGGCTGTGCCTCATTTAACAGTTAAATACTTCAAGACGGCAACTCAACCCATTCCTTTATTTCAAAGTTTCATTTAAGGGTCATGATATTACAAAGCACTAAAATAAACAAAATAAGTTTACTGGTCTGAATTAGATGAAGTTACCTTTCTCTAAAATGTAAAAAGACAAAAATATAGAAAGACAATCTGCTTATACCCAACTTGCAAAATTAACTTATTTACTACTATAAAGCAATTGACAGAGAAATAAAAATACATATTTTTGTTATTAAACCAAAAGTATGTTTTTTTAACCCACATGAGGTGTCTATTTGACAGATGAGTAGTTGTAACCAAGAATCTAGACCCTATTTTTCAAAGCTGACAGTATTTCCCTTGCTTGGTTCAGAAGCAAAAGTATTGAACAGATTCTATGGTAAATAATAAATTGGGTTGTTTAGGTTTGACAGTTGATTAGTGCGTAACTGGATATGAATGATACTGCAGTGAGCTACATTAATAATTCTGACATAGCAGCCTGTCAAAGATGTCTACATTTTTTAAAAAGTGCTTTCTGTTGGCTCTCGTACTTGTTATCATATAAAGGCAGAGGTGGTCATAGGAACCAAAGCATGGGTGTCACATTGCACAAACCCGGGTATCACACCAATGCACTTTGTAATTATCAGTGTGCTTGTTCTTCACAGATTATCAAAGGGAAAATAACCTTTTAATGAGACAGTATGGGTATTAGTAGAGGTTGACACTGAGTCCAAATAGTTCTATTCCTGGAAATAAACAGTAAACAATGTCAATTCTGTGTGTGTGTGTGTGGCATGTGTGTACTCATGTATATATGCAAGAGAAATGTTAAGGTATTTAGTCAGTCAGGAAACAAAAGGTTTAAAACTCGTCTTTCTTAAAGGGGCAAGGAGTAATTACATAGGGAAAACATGGAGCTTACTGAATTAGACCAAAAATTCAGCACAAAAAGAATTCAACTGGTATTTTAAAAATGCATGAACCTTAAACTAAACTTTGTATTAACTTCCTCTTAAGTTTCCAGTCTATAGATTTAAGGCAAACACATTTATGACTAACAAAGCTTTGGGTGATTTAAAAATAGTATTGCACCCAAGGGACTAAACTGGATTCAATTTTCCACTAATTTTCCTAAGCGTTTTACTAGTCCATTTTTTCCTGTGGTTTGCCAATGGCAGTATGTTGTCTACAAATATTTGCAGGAAGAAAGTCATTGATTCCTCTTCTGTTTGCTCTAGAAGGAAAAGGATTATTTACCTCAGTTAGCATGGAAAATATTGTTTTAAAAGCAAGATAGGTAAGTGCATGGCTCATTTCACAATGGGATATGACTGGCTAAACTGAAACCCCGTTTATCATAGGGTACACTTAACCTGAGGAAAACTCTGTAGAACGAAAAGTAAGATAAGCTTGTTATATTAATGATAAAAAGGTAACACGGTGTTTTAAAACTATACCTAAATTTAAAAAATTAACTTTTATGGGTTTTGATTTTATTCAAATGAGAAAATATAGCTCCCTACAGCTTAGAAGTCAACATTTAATTCCATTATTCTGCCTTTTAATACACTCAAGTGAATTTCATTTTAAAATATCTATTGCAGAATTTTTTCTTAAAAAGTTTTCCTGCAATGAATATTTATAGCTCAAACAATCAGAAATAATTCATTGAGTCAAAACCTAACGTTTTCTTTTTATATTCTGTGTGGCGATGGTACATTTCTCCTTTTAAACAACTTTGCGAGTGTTTTTTGGTGGAATCCTCTCAACAAGAAAACTATAGTACAGAATGATAAGTTCGGGGGGCATGTTTATCTGCTCATGTAAAAAACGGAATTGAAACAAAGGACTGAATTGAAGGAACTTACAGTTAAAACCTTGGCTTTTTATAATCATGATAGGAATCTGTGGCATTATCAATACCAAAAACCAGACATTGATGGTAATTAAAGAGTTGCCACCTTCATTGTACAGAATTAAAGATTAAGTTGAAAAGGAATGAAATTCTAAAGACAATTAAACTTAACAAAAATACCCCCAAAATGGGGAAAAAAAAATTTATAGGTGATCCCCAACAACCTGAGATACAGCAATGCAGAAATTGAAGGAGTCTTTTGAAATGCCCCAGCATTTTTTTTTTGACAAAACACCTACTTATTAAATACAAACATGAAATGTTAAGTAGACATTATAGATTCTAGGAAATGACATCTCAGATTCCCAAATGCCCCAGCATTAACTCTCACTGGGAGCTGCAGTCCCAGAGAAGACCTCATAGTCACATTTTTTGTTTTGCAAAACGTCATTCATTGGGTACCTTTCAAACATCTGTTCTTTGGCTGGAAAATTATTAGCTCATTAGCACAATGACCTCATTATGAGAAATCATAGGGAGGTGTGAAGTTTACTCCATCTGCCAGACTCAATTTACCTTCCCTTGCCTTGCCAGTGAATATTTTGAAACAAAAGTGGAGGTTTTAAACTCATTTATTAATGTACTTGCTATAGAATAATTCTGTAAGGGTTAATACTTTAATTAAGAAAGATGAAAACCTTTTTGTCTTTCCTTAAATCTGCCCAATGGTGCTATTTTACATATCAATACAGCTGAAAGAAGTACTGTAATTTTGGGCTGCAATGTTTCCTCCACATCTGAAGAAAGCCCATTTTGAAATTGGATATTGCATTAAAACAAAGGAGAAAAAAATTATTTTAACTGTGTGCAATTTTTGAGACTGGGCATTTGTACTTTTTTAGTTTTACCTAATTCTCTTTCATTAATAATTTACTGTTTGTGAACAACGTGTGCTAAGACAAACTAAGGAAAAGAAAACAATTGTCTGTCAAAGACTTTGTTCATTAAACAAGTGATCCAAATCTTGGTTGTAGTTGCTATACTTTTTTGCTTTAACATACTGAAATTTCTGCAGGTTTGTATTTGCAACATTCAAATCCCTTGAGTTCTTAAGATCTGACAATGGCCTAGGTTTTTAAGTAGGACCTGAACATAGTAGTAATTATTTTAAGGAAATATACACTGATTAGCCTTGGACATTGTAGAAAAGAATAGATACATCAGCCAGTGGAAATAACATATAGACTTTCAAAACCTGTTTTTTCTTTTTTAAGTTTAAGAAATATCATAATGTAACCTAGAGGATTTTCCCTCATGATATTTAAAGAAAAGTAATAATATAACAGTACTTTTATACACAGGGGTATTAAATGAGTATATAACTAAATGCATCTGATAATTTTGTATAGAAGAAACTTAAGACAAATCTATTCCACAATAAGAGGTTTGGCAATAGTTAAAAAAAAAAAAAAAAAAAAAAAAGTCCCTTTCCAAAGCCTCAACTTCTAAGCCAGATTCAAGGTAAACAGATTGCAACCTGGGGTGTACCTACAGGTCTCTACTACACTGAGCTCATGCTTCTGCCTCAATTGGATGTCTGAAATTCATAGCCTTCTCCTACCACCCAAAATTAAGCAAGTACTCCCTGGATCACTAATCAGTCATTGTGTTTCAACTAATGATCTTCAATAAAGGATTCCCAAGGATAGTATGAGTATGAGAGTAAAGACACTTTAGAGATAATTTTTAGGCTCAGACCTGAGGATGAGAAAAGTTACTGTCAGCCTGCAAAGATTTATGAGTGGCAATGTAAAGAGGGAACAACAAGTACAGAGTCCTGAATGGGATGTGTTAAGCAAGGCTGACAAAATCAGCCAGTAAATAAAGAAGACCTTATTAGCACTATAGTTAACTTACACAGATGGTAAAGATGGATAAAATGGCCATCCTTCCATAGCCTTGTCCCAGGAAAACACATAAAAGCAGCCAGATAACACATAATACAACGTAAGGACCAGAGTGCCCTGTTGCTAAGAGGCTGATTCCAGGTTGCAGCTAAGTAAAGCTTGCAATACTCTAAAGGGACTTAAGATGGAAAGTCTCATCTTTCAATAGGACCAGGAGTGATGGCAAAATCTACCCTCCTATTCTGAGATCACAGGAATCCTTCCAAGGCTGAGGTATGCTGTGACAAAGCCTTGCTTTTGTAGACTTACTGGATCTATACAAACTCATGAGCGTGACAGCAAGAGGATCAAGAATGGTGGCAGAAAGGCTAGTTAGGAAGCTGCTACATATATATAGTACAGGTAAGACATAGTGACTCTATTGAGGGTGAAAACAGGAGACACCCTGACATATATTTATTTTCATTTTGGAAAAGGAACCAGTAATACTTGCTAATTAAATTAGACTGAGGTAGGGCAAGGAGGAGAGGACGGGGGAAAAAAAATCAGGGAAGATTTATAGGAAGATTTTCTGGCTTGAGAAATTACATGAAAAATTTAGGGGAGTATCAAAGTTACTGGAAATGGGATCAGAACACAAATAGGGATGTTTGCTCTTAAAAGGAGAAAAGACATTGCATTCATTAAATCAAAAGTGAAAAGTGATGGTTTTTATCTTTTTAATGAATAAAAAGGCAATAGAGAATAGTATTCAAGCAAAGTTAAAAAATAAGTAATAAACTGTCAGTCAAAGTTATAGAAAGAACTTAGTAGGAAAAACAAAATCACTAAGCAAAACTGAGAAGTCAGGAGCAAAGGAACAGAGGGCATATGCAAGGAATTCACTATGAACTCTGAAACTAAGATGAACAAGAAATAATCTGAAGGCAGGAGAAATCTGGCAACAGAAAATGGAATGCCCAAATTGACTTTATGCAAACAGGTGCTGCAAAGAATCCAAGGTTGACTGCTGAGGGGACTCTGATGGAATGGGGAAAAAACCTGAGAAATTTAAGGTCACAGCATTCGATCTGTTGTTACAAGGAATCTCAAAAATAAATGCTAGGAAGGAGAGAAAAACCGAGCCAAGAACTAGATCTTCTGTGAATGAGCAGAAAATTCTCTGAGAGGTAAATTAGTAAGGAAAGGGACACAATGATAAAACATCAGAGAACTGAGAAATTTTTATCAAGTGGTAGTTGAGCAGAAGATAACTATCCGCTCTCCTGCCACTGAAGCACATGTGATATAAGAACAGAAAAGCTTCCATCTGAAGTAACCAGAGTCCTAACAAGACACTAATGTCACCAAAGCAAGGAAGTGACTAGGACATTAGGGAGAGTCGAACACAGATATCAGTTAGCTGAACTTAGAAATTTATCATTTACTTTAGTCCTTGGAGACCAGTTACTGAACTGGTTTAGGCCAGGAGTTGGCAAACTGTACGAAGCAAATCAATCCAGCCTGTGTCCCTCTTTGTGTGGCCATGAATTAAGAATGTTTATGATTTTAAAGGGTGATAAAACACACACCACACAACACACAAAACAAATTTACTTTGTGCCATGGCCATGGACTATGGAAACATCTTATAAAGACAGGTTACTGACCTAAAAGGGGTCTAGATGAACAGCAAAAGTTATCACCACAGAGAGAACACGTTCTACAGACAAAGATTAAAAACATCACTCTAAAAACAAGTTCTTTCAAGCTACTTTGACAGTCAAAAGTAACATGTCGATTACTATGGTCCTAAATGGCACATTTATGCATCCAACAAATACTTATCTATTCTGGTTCCCAATAGTGTAATCTGATAAATTATATTTCTTACACTGACAGCATAAGGAAAACTAAGGACTAATGTTTGAGGGGGAGAATGATCTCCAACTTTGGCAAGTTACTTATCTATCAGTATGGGCTTTTAGTTATCAGACAAGATTAAATAGTTCTTATTTTCTTTACTGTAGTTTATGGCTATAATTTTTCATCATTTTACTACAATATATGGAAAAAGGAGAGATAAAAACTTGCTGACAACTAAAAAGATGTTAACTTCCTATGGTATCATAAAACACAAGTTTTACAGACTATTAAAGCTACTGTTAAGATTAGATCACTGAAAATTACAATCTTAAGAAGCAAAATTACAAAAACAAATTTTATTTTTGATTTTCAGAAGTAAAAAATTTACTACTCTTTATAAAATTGTTAACAAGACAGTTGACATCTAGTTAACCTATACATCATTTTTTTCCTTTTCTTGAAAATACTCAAATCCATATTAAGTATTGCATCCTTCAAAAAAACAGACTAAAGGATATTTGTTTTTAATAAGTTCTGTGAACAAAATTCTAGAACATCCATGTTTTTGACTTGAATATTGTTATTTATCAATTTAACATATCTCCTGGAAGGAACAATAACAATAAAATCACGGTTCTAATTTTTAGTTCTGTTTTGACAAATAAAACCTATCACTTTTGACAATGAGAAAGCAGAAAATAATACTCAATAAAAGGAACTACTTGAAATAATTTATTCCTTTGGTCAAAAGCTTAAGTGTAGAAGATCAGGATAACAAGAATAATCAGTATTTGTTTCTTGCGTTTAATTGGGCTCAGAAGATTGTACATAATAATGTACCATCTGTTGGTGAGTATGAATTCCCTACCACATTTCCCCCTACTTTATAAGAAAATACGTTTAATGTGTAAGGAGGAAATTAGTGTGACATTATTACTGAAACACAATCTTGCTTTTATCACAACTCAAAACTGTCCACAGGAACCTTTTAGAAATCAGGTCCATTATTCAAAATGTGAGATCAGGCAATCTTAAATATACATAAGGAAACAAGTTAAAGCTTTCTTTGTCCTAATACTGCTCCCACCTCTACAAAATGCAGACTAAATAGCTTTTGAAGATAACTCTGCTATGATTTGGATATGGATACTTAAAAGTGTGTTCCCAGAGGGTTCATGTGTTAGAATTTTGGTTCCCAGTGTGGCAGTGCTAAGAAACTGTAGGACCTGTAATACAGCCAAGTCATTACTGGCTCCTCTGTACTCGCTGGCTACCTATATTGCCTGTGACTCCTCCCTCTGTCATTCAGGCCCACTATTATGATGCCATCAACCATGATGTGACATAGCTAAAAGACCTTGCCAGATCTGGCATTATGCTGTTTGGACTTAGTCCAAAACTCTGAGCGACACAAACCTTTGTAAGTTTCCAGCCTCAGGAATTTCATTATAGTAATAGAAAACAGACTATTACAACTTCTATTTTTAAGACAACTTAATGAAAATGAACAACAGCTTTTATTTTTAAATAAAAATCATAACACCAGCTTTGAAACTGGAAATGGGACTCTATGTAAGAGAATAAGTTAAATACCAAATTCTTGCATCTAGATGATTATCTACCATAATAAATGAGTATGACTTCAAGGTCTCAAATTATTTATCTTCAACTCAAAGAAAGACAAAAAGGCACAGGAGTCATTTCTTCATCCGAAGCATCTGAGTCCCCTGTTAGTGCCAATTCCCCTAAATCTTTGTCTATAGTTAATATAGGTTTCTTCTTACGTTTCTTAGGAATTGCATCATTAGCACAAACTTTTCTCATTTTAATGTTTGGCAATTTCTTCAGATCAAAATCCCACTCCCTAAACAAAAGAAAGAATATAAAGGGTTGAGAACTGAGGTGAAAAGGCAGACAGTTAATTCTCAAAACTCTAAAAGTATCAAAAGAACTACAAGATTTTGAATGCACTAGAAAGAAATGAACTGAGGCTTTCTTTCCATACTTATTGCATTTTCTCACTATTCTACAGCAGCAATACCTACACAGATTGTCCCACATTTTCAAAACTTCAAAAGCAAACAGGAAGACAGTAGGCTCTGCCCCATTCCTTTATTCTCCCTAGCCCAAGTATCTCCCATTATCAGGCCACACAGTCTTGAGAATTTCAAAAGAACTAGGTCATCCCTGACAAGTCTCCAAAATACAGTCAGTAAGGGATTTTCTTTTCAGGCACAATGCAGCTGAGTCTTAATCAAACAATTAGAATTTTTTTTGGGGGGTGGGGAGGTACTAGAGTTTGAACTCAGGGCCACCTGCTTGCTAAAGCCACGCCTCCAGTCCCTTAATTACAATTCTTATAAGATAAACTTTCCAGTTTTTCAACCTCAGGACTTTCTATAACAATTCTGTTATAGGACCTGAAGAGCAATGTGAAGACTATCTCGAGAACTGAACTCTAACCAGCAATACTAACAGGCTGTGCTCAACTCTTCTCTCACTTCTGGCTTTCTTTAGAAGAGGCAGAATATATTGTTTCAGAAATAAACACATCCTATATTTGATTATGCCTGGATTTAAATTTATCTAAGTTCAATTAACAAAAATTTCAGATCCATCAACATGGTCTAGTTCAGAACAAAATGATTAATGGAAAGCATTCTCTAAATATAGAGAATCTGTCTGAAAACTAAAAAGCTGAAATCCTACTCAGTGGTCTCCCTGGTTACAAGATGTACAGAGACACTACCGGACAAAAGGGTTCTTAATGACTAAATTCTGTGACATGACTTTCCATTAGTCTGTTGCTATTACTTATTTTTTTAAAAAATAAGAACTGGAGAGAAATAGTAACATCTTTAAAATGCTGTATTAGAACACCTTAAACTATTTTGAAAAATAAAAAGGTATGTCATTATTATCATTTCAGTGTACATCAGTAGCAAATGATGTTGTGTTCAAATGAACACAACTGGAAAATTTCTACTTTCTGATAAATGGAAAAGGCTAAAAGAAACCTCCATTTTTGGGGGGTCAAGGGGGAACTCTAATGTCTAGACTCAAAAAGGAAGAAGCTTATACCTCATATATTTTATATACAGCTTCCAGGAAACAGTAAGAGATACTCACCTAAACATCTTTAGATTACTTCCATCTAAAAGATCTGGAATCTCTGGAAAAGAAAATAATTTATAGCCAATAGGTACTTCCTTCTAAATTGTATAATTTCTTCATTTATTATTTCAGATACAACATAATAATAACACCAACAATATACAAAAGGGTATAAATATTTTAAAGTTCCATAATTAACTTAAAAATTTAAGTTTGCCAAGATTAAAGAGTTTAGTTTAAGAAGAATGCTGAGTTGGCCATGGTAGCCTAAACCTGTAATCCAACACTTATCTGGCAGAGGTAGTAAGACTGAGACTTCAGGCTAGCCTGGACTACCTACCAAGCTCCAGGCTAGCCTGAGTTACACAGTGGGACCCTTGTTATGTGGCTCAGTGTAGAGAGCTTGTTTAGCATGCATGAGGTTCTGAGTTGGATCACTAATACCATTAAAAAAACCCAAAAAACAAAACTATTAAGTTATCAACTCTAGCATGATCTTGAGAAATTAAATAAATCAAGTCATTAAAACAATATTCCAAGGTGTTTTTCTTGGTGAAAAGTATAAATTTCCAAGCACATACTTTATATAAGTTATAAAATCACATTATTCAAAATGTGAAGAATTAAAAAGCTATAATCAATAGATGCTCAAAATTTAAACCCATCTTTAATAAAAACTAGATATAGATCTTTACTATGGTTAGAAAGTTTATCATAAACTACTAAGAATGACAATACTTACTGCTGAAACACAGATCTGGTCAATGCAATAAACAAAATTCAGTATCAATAAATGAAAAGGTTAAAAACAAAACTGTCAGATGCAACTGTATACTGACTTTTACCACAATTTCAGAAAATAAGGGGGTAGGTGTTAAAAGGTGTAAATTAAGCACATTTTTCAGTAATAGGAATCCTAATGAGTCAGAAATAATTATTTCTGGGGCAAGAGGTATCCATAATTTAATCTTCTCAAAACCTGAGAAAACAGATTTTGGCAATGTGTCTCCATGTTTCTATATATTTGTGAACTAGTAAGAGTTCACAAACCTTCTTTCACCGGATGCATTTCCTGACTGGAAGAATCATTGTGGCATAGTTGGAAGAACACCTGATCTGGACTCTCCTACTGGCTCTCTCACCAATAAATATTTCACTTGGACATGCTCTGTTAAATACTGCTAATTAGTGTAGCTGCTATATGCTGAAAAGGCTTGAGAGGGAAGAGGGGGAGCACAGAGACCAACTAGGAGGATGTTATAGTGAGTGATACATTTGAGATGAAGGTGGCTTGAACTGGGAAGGTGGTAGTAGCAGAACTCATCAGATTCTAAATATACTTTGGATGTGCACTGTGAAAGCAACTAGGGTTTCTCATATGAGCACCTGGATAAGTGGTGATATCACTGACTGAAATAAGGAACTTGCAGAAGAAACAAGTTTCAGGAAAAAAGCAAGACTGTTTTTAATATCAAATTTGAGATGCCTGCAATTCATCTAAATAGACTGGAGAAATCTAAGTTTGATAATTCAAGTCTGGAGCTCTGGGAACAAATTAGGGTGGAAAATATGAATTTGGAAGTTGTTGGCATTCAGATGGGATTTAAACCGACATAATTAAGAGATTAACTGAAGAATGGGTGTAGATAGAAATGAGAAGAAACCCAAGAACAGGGACGCAGGCCACATTTAGTTTCTTAAGATGTGGAGTACTTAGCTTACAAAACTGTAAAGTTGTGGCCAGTGAAACAGAAGAAAGCTAGAAGAGTTCGGGATCTCTTATACCAAATAAATATATGACAAAAAAAAACTACTTATCTGCATCAAATGCTCAAAAAGGTGACATCTGTGAAGAGTACTTTTGGTTGAGTTATGGAAACAAAGTCAAATTAAAATAGGTTCAAAGAAAATGAAAAATGAGAAACTGGAGACTATAAGTACAAATTTTATGCTCTTACAAGATCACTACTTAGGTGAAAAAAGACTGGTTGAAGCTCTCTATTACTCTCTTGTACTAAGTACTATGTCAGGTACTTTTTTTTTTTTTGGCAGTACTGCAGTTTGAACCCAGGGTCTTGTCACTCTGCCACTTGCACCAGTATCAGGTACATATGCCCAGGGTGGTCTTGAACTCACACTCCTCCCTCTGCCTCACAAGTGCTAGGAAAATGGGGGGAGGAGGGATGGAGAAAAAAAAAAGAGCAATAAAGGAGTGAACATGAAGAAAAAAATCAACTGCATTTTGTTAACTTAAAAAACATCTATTAAAAATAATTTTGCAAAAATGAGTAAAACAAGACCTGAGGTCTTGTTAAATAAGTTGCCTTCTGTTATCCAGAAGGCAGTAAGGATTTAAGTATGGAACTATCTAGTTCTAAAGCTTTTTGTTGCTTTTTCAATTAAGCTCACTTCTTAGCAATCAGGAGAAACTATCATCTTCTTCAGTTTCTAACACTAGCCACAGAATACTTCCTTTTCTATATTTTCATGTTTTTTTTATTTAATTTTGCTGTTTCATTTACTGTACTATCCCAAGAAACTCCACATAACACAAATGCCTACAGGGAGGAGGCATGAAGGTACAGGACCATTGCAAACTTCAGAATATATGCCAGGTCAAGACAGCTGCTATTCCACTCCAGGAGATTACAATGCCAAATCGTCTGCTTTTTGTTTTTGTTTTTTTTTTTAAGCAAAGCCAGGTTTTGTTTTTTTTTTAAATACTAACAATAAGCTAAATAACTACTATTTGCAGACCACATAACTTGTGAGTGGCTTTGGTCTGTTAGCTTTGCAACTCTCAGTTCCCTCTCCTATTAAGTGATTTTCATCAGACAGTGTTAACAAACAAATATACTTACCTTTAGGAATTAATTAGACATGCTACAATGCTAAGAAAGAAAATTTGATTTCTATACTTTTTCAAGAATGATTAAGTGTAGCTATGTAGAGCAAAACTTACAAAAGTGAAAAGGACATATACTATTTAGTCTAAAGAAACTTAGATATGATTGGAGATGGGTAAGTTAACAACCCTATTACAAAACAAATTAGGTATATATTAGAAAGGAAACCACTATTGTCACAGTAGAAAGAGGTGATGTCACTATCAAAAACTTACAGTTTTGTTGAGAATGTGGAAGAAAAAATTAAATCCAAAAAGTATTCATAAAGAAAAGGAAAACAATGGAAGAGAATCCAACTAAATCAATAGAATAAATAAAATCAAATACTTGAAATGAATTGCAAAGCTGTTATCACTGCGTATTTTAGAAAGAAAAAATAGAGAACATACCAAAGCCATAGCCTTCGTACTGCTGTCGTTCACGCTCCATTGTCTGCTTGATGACAGTCTCCCGGGAATGGTGCCGCCTTCCCTGCCTGTCCTTGATGCTGTTATGTAACTCAATCTGCTCTAGCTCGCTGTTGAACCTATTTAAATACCTGAAAAATATGAACATGATTTCAGTTCCAAAGTCTATACATTTAAGTTCATATTACAAAACTTAGTTTCCAGCTGTTATCTGTACTTTCAAAGTTCATATTCCTGAGTTCACCACGTCTCAAACTTCTTAACCTTTCCTGTATAGCTCAATTATTTCTTTAGCTTTAGTGACTGAATCAGTCTGCTATCTGCTGAACTGAGAGCACTCATATTGAACCAGTTACTATACTTCTCCATTTAGATGTTCCCTGGTGCTTCACCCTAACACATCAAACCTGTCATCACCCTGTTACCATCCACCCCACACCAAGCCTGTTCCACTTATTGGGCTCCCTAACTCAAGACTATAGTATGTCCATTGACCTAGCAGCCCGAGCAAGGTTATGTAGGCATCCTCCTTTACTCCTTTCTCATTATTCTACACCTAAGTTCTCACTAAAGACTGAGACTTCTACCTGCTTACTGTCTCTGGGTTTCTTTCATTTCTCTTCGGTAAACTGCTACTAACCAAGCAGAGGCCTGCACTGCTACACTGGCCTCTCAACAGTCTGTCTTCTCACAAAGCCATATCCCCTCTCAGTACCTTTTCCCCATTTTAACAACTGTGACCTTCCTAAAGCTTAAATATGACCATCTCACATGCTTAATGTGTAAGTCTCCCACAGATCCTAATGTCCTTAGGTAAGATCCAAACTCAGACTGACAACTGAGGTTGTTCATAAGCCAACTGTCACTTATAGCACCTACCACACTAACCTTCATGAACATGTAATTCCAGTCACATTAAACATCTGATAGGTCACTACACCAGTCATCTTCTCTCTCACTCCTGGGCCTTTCACATGTTGTTCTTTCACACTAGCGGTTCTTCAAGCTATACCTTACCTCAATCTGCTAACCCCACCTGGGAGGAGTCAGTGCAGATGATCCTTCTCCAAGAGGCCTTTATGATCATTAGAAACAAACTGGGGTAGCTACCACTCTGAGGCCCAGAAAGATTACAAAACTAAGAAGTAGGCCAAGCTAGAATACAAATCCACTGTTAACAAAGCCCATTTGCTCTTCTTTCAAATCCAAAGCCAAACTCCGTTGCTTAAAAAACAGCCTGGACCTAGCAAGTGCAAGACTGTGAATCCGAAGTGCAGTGCCACACACACACACACACACACACACACGCGCGCGCGCGCACACACAATTCCCTTTTCTGACCCTTTGCTTGTAATATACCTGGTGTTTACCTTTCAGTTAATTCACAAGCATCTTTCTTTGAATATCTCACTTTTTGAGGATCTAGATGATTATGAAACCACTGCAGTTTTTCACCTGTAAACAACAAGTACCAAGGCAGTTCAGCATCACAGGTCATCATCTAAACAAAGAGGTACTCTTTATAATTCTCAGTCTCAATGCACTTAAAACCAACCCAAAATTATTTCATTGTTAAATAAAAAGCTCTGTGTAGGCTCGAAGTTAATCAAATCAGTCTGTCAGAAATCGTCACATTTGAACTCAGAAAATAGACAAAAGATGAGAACAATGCTCTTCTATTCACATTTCTTATCTAATATTGAGCAGGAAAGACTTCAGTAGAACAGAAAACAAAGTTATAAGAATTTAAAAAGCAAAGGGCACAATTTGTTCAGGATAAAATTAAAACCCTGATTAATGATGAAAATGATATTTGCTAAACACTTAGATTGCAGGCACTATGACAAGAGCTTTACAATTCTATGAGGATTAGTACTACTATCTACATTTACATATGATATTAACTAACATACAGGGCCACAAAGTTAATGAATGCATTGAGCTAAAAGAGCTGCCAGATGAAAGACTGAAATAAATTATCAATGGCCAGGAGAACTCATCCTTAAGAACATATCTGACCATCAGGGTCTCACTTTCAGTCAGATTTCCCACACAGATTCCCTGCTTAGACATATTATTCTATTATCTGATGAAGCATTAGAGATGAAGCTTCAACTACCTTTTATTTTAGTAATAAAGCCCAGTAGTCACTATTTTTAAATTTCAGACCTGTCAGTAAAATTTACTATCAATAAGCTTTACCAGAGAGAGTGATTATGACACTGAGATACAGACTGAAGATGTTCTTTTTATAATACTTCAGCCACTGCTTTTACTTAAATCTAAGATGCCTCCCAAAGACCCATGTGCTAAATGCCTGGCCTCCAGCCCATGGTACTATTGGAAACCTTTAAGAAAAGTGGCCTAGTGGTAGGTCTTATGTCATTGAGAAAGGGCCCTTGGAGGGGTTATTGGGTCTTGAACTCTTCCTGCCTCTCTTTGCTTCCTGGCTACCATGAGGTGAGCAACTTGCTCTATCACACACTTCCCAACATGATATGCTGCCTTGCAACAGGTCCCAAAGCAACACAGCCAACTGACCAAGGACTGAAACTAGCAAGTCTCTGAGCCAAAATAAACCCTTTCTCATTACAAGCTGACTTTTTTTCACTTACGTGTTACAGTAATGGAAAGCTGACTAATCTTAGCGGTTAGGAAGCTAGAATTAAACTTCAGAGAGAATGGTGGATAAATGTAAATATTCACAGAGACGGGAAGATAGTATAAACTTAAACAAGTTCTGGAAACAGCTAGGAATCATTAGCATTGTTTAAAAGTTACTGGTTTGTTTCACTACATTTAATCAAGTCTTGTTAAAAAAGGTACTTAGATAAAAGTATTATTTCAGTAGTAACGTAAAAAGAAAAACTTATATAGGGCAAAATTCACTATACACTAGCCAGGATTTCAAATAAGCAAAAACACTTACCAATAAGGTTGAGACGCAAGGCCTTTTCATTCTTCATTCTTAGAAGAAGAGTGGTATATACACATTAAAAAATTAAGTTTTAGAAATCTGGCAAAAAAAGCAAAAATAAAAACTACCCAAAGAACTTTAATTCAAATATCATTTTACATTTATAAAGGTAATCTTAATAACACAGAAACATGAAATGCTATGATGGCTGATCTTGAGTGTCAACTTAACTGGATAAGAAATGCATAGGCGATCAAAGCACATCTCTGGTTCTGTCATGATGGCTTTTCCAGAGAGGAATAAGATGAGGGACAACCTGCCCTTAATGTGGTAGTGTCATTTCAAAAGCAGAGGGACAAACAGAATAAAAGGGGAAAGAGAGAAAAGCTAGCTGAGCACGATGGTGCATGACTGTAATCCCAGCACTCAGAGGCAGATTGGAGTGTTCAAGATCAGCCTGAACTACAAAGAGACCCTATCTCAAAAACCCAAACACACATGCATAAAAAATAAGAAAACCAGAAATCCCATTTCATATGAGAAAATTGGGTAAATGAAGTCATGAAAAAAACATTTAAACATTTTCTTAGCTACAGAATGGGAGAAACTATTCACAGAACTTGTGTACAGAGTATACAAACAGTTCTTACTACCTAACAATAAGCATATATTATGACATACCACAAAGTGCAAAATATTCTTCATCATAGTATATAAAGATGCTCAAGATCATTAGTCATCAAGAAATGAAAACTGAACACACCAAGAAACCTCTACATACCTACTAGATTGGGTAAAAAAAAAAAAAAAGGAAACCACCTATTAAAGAGGATACTGAGCACAAATAACCCCTATATTCTAGTAGTACTTTTATAAAATGGTACTGCCACTTTGGAGTTTCTTGAATTGTGGGGATCGGATTATAAGAAGCCTATGAGAACATGACATAAGCACAGCTGTGCCCAATAATCTACAGACTGAGTCTGGCATGGCCCCAGCCTGAGAAGAGAGTGAGAGGCAAAATGCAGTACAGCTGCTTTTCCTAAGTTGTTTACATTAGAGAAGTAGGCAGAGGCTTCTCCTGTTACAATGTCACAAGAGAATTGTTGCTCCACCTCCTTGTTTACCACTGTGTATAAAAGACACACTGAAGGAGGATATGAGGTTTTCTGATGGCAATTTCTGATTGGCTCATGCTGCTGCTGCTGCTGGCTGTGTGTCTCCACAACAGCAGCTTTCTGCACCAAGAACTTTATAGTCTTTAGAAAAGCTAAGCTAAAGAAAAGCTAAAAACAACATGGGACAGTGCAAGTCTAAGGTCCGAGACTTTAAAGAGTTATGCCAATGCAGTTTTTAGACACGGCTGCTGTTGTTTGTCTGAAAGTCTGAGCACCGAGACTTTAAACAGAACATGGGACAAGTTGAGGAAAAAGACTTTAAAAACATGGGACAGAGCAAGTCTAAGGAAAGAGACCTTAAACAATAGAAAAGAAGCAAGGTTTCAAAGAACTGTAAAGGAGTAAGGCCTTAAAGAATAGAGAAGTAAAAATGCAACGAGGCTGCTATGCATCTCCATCTGAGTGCCCAGCAAACCTGGCCCCAACTTTATGCATGTCTGTCTTCTATCATTTGTCCTTTCTCCGTCTCCAGTCACCCCCAGTTAGGTCAGGAGAACCAGGAGCGTAAGAAAGCTCACTCCATTGAATGGCTAGATAATAACCGTCTTTGTGGACCCTGCAGTCTGTCATAATCACTCATCTCTGTCATTGTAGCCTGAAAGCAACCACAGAAAACACAAAATGAGTATGTGTTTGCCCATAAAACTTTTTACAAGTGACTGGACTCTTGATGTGCAGACCACTAATAATCTCCAAAAACTAGATGTCCAAATGACCATCAACAGTGAATGGATAAACAAACTGTTTATTCATATGGTGAAATAATAAAAGAGACAACTGAATAAAATGAAATAAAATGACATGAATAAATCTTAACAACTCCATGCTAAGTAAAAGAAGCATAAAAAGACTATATACACTGTAATTCCACTTACATGAAACATTAGGAAAACCAAATCTCTTGTATCAAAACAAAAACCAGATTCATGGCTGCCTAAGCCCAGGACGGAGAGTAATGATTACTGGGTAGACAGAGAAGGAAATCTTAGGGAGGATAAAAGGCACTACCTATTGATCATGGGAGTAATACAAACACATACAATTGTCACAGCCCAGTAACTGCACACTTACAATGTGTCCATTTTATTGTACAGCTCAAAGTTGACTTAAAAACAACATAGATACAGAGAATAGTTTTGGAAGGAATTCAAATCAATTCTTTAAATGAGGGGAACCTCAACAAGATCAAAGCTCAAAAGTAGTTTTCTAGATTCTTACCCACTACACAGTTTCCCTTGTTGATTGTCCATAGTCAATAATTTTCATTTGTTATCTGAATTCTGTACTAAAATGCTCCTATGATGCCTATAAATTATTGTTTGTGCTAATCTTGAAACCATACTAATTCCTGCTCATGGTTTTTTTGAAGAGGCAGTGTTTCATATACTCCTAAATCAGAGCTCTCAAATGCTGAAAATTACCATGCTTGAATTTTTACTCTAGAGTTACTTATTCTTTCAGTACCTTTAAGTAAACTGAGACCATCACTAAGCGTCAGCCTCATCAACTCAGGAAGTCTGATTGCATATACGCCATCATTTATCAAAAGGTACAGTACCCTAACATACCCCTTTCTGACCTTCCTCTACCTCTCTTTCTACCTGTTTGATTTTTGTGGGAAAATAAAGGAAGTGGACATTCCATGCTGTGTGAGGGCCCCTGTTCCTTAGAAAACCAACTGCTTTTTTGTTACATAGATACCACCAGAAGATGTTTCCAATGATTCTTGTTTTTTAATATTGATGTCCTTGTACTCCATAGGTATGAGTGGAGACAGTGACTCACTTCTAACAGAACAGTGCAATAGTGATGGATGCCGTTCCAAAATTAGGTTAAAGACTGACTTCTATCTTATCCTCTCTGTCGCACAGTGGTCTCCAAGTGCCATATTTAAGTAGCTTTATGAAGACACATGTAGCAAGGATGTGATGTCTCCATTCAAGAGTGAGACACGACACCCAAGGTCTGCCAAGAGCATTGCGAGTGAACTTGGAAACAAAACCACTCCCCATCAACCTCTATGATGAATGCAGTCCCCGCAAACAACTTGACTACAGTACAGTGAGAGATCCTGCACTAGAAACAGCCAGGTAAGTGCCACTGGGACTCCTGATCCAGAAACTGTTCCTTTTAAGCTAACAAACTATGCTATAATTTCTTATACAGAAATAAGTAAGTAACTATTTACTTATAAGAAGCCACAGATATATGAAGTTCAACTTAAATCCCATGGGTACCTTTTCTATCATCTCCGGTACAATTGTCCCAAAGGTTTGAGTACATTGTCACCTACTGTCTTTTGCAAAGATGAAACAGCATTTCTGTCTAGCGGAGCATTATGCTAGAGCAGGAAGATCAACAGCATTTCAAGATGTTATTTGTGCTGGGGGTGTGGCTCAAGTGGTTAAGTGCCTGCCTAGCACGCACAAGGCCTTGAGTTCAAACCCTAGTACCACCAAACAAAAAAAAAAAATGAGAGAGAGAGAGAGGCTATTTGTGACCATGTTACTATTAAAGTTAAGTATGACTCATGGTTACAGATGCTACAACTCAAAAAACTGGCATGTATGACAGGCCTAAGACAACAGTTTAACAGCCATAAAATGTCAGACAAAACAAAACTGTATTATTGTTGTTGTGGTGGTGGGACTGCAGTTTGAACTCAGGGCTTTGCCCTTGCAAAGCAGGCACTCTACAGTGTGAGCCATACCTTCAGTCCTATGTTTGGTTTTGAGACAATGACTATTAAGATGATGACTTCTTTGAAACAGATGAGAAAAAGGAGAGTTTAGAATGTTGCCCCAGGAGAAAAACTAAGTGACACTTTCTAACTCTACACGATTAAAATAAGAGGCATGGCCAAGAGCAAAACTTCCCTACAACAGGTTATATATGAGATTAACATCTTGCTTTGTTTTCCTTCCATTATTCTTCTATATTGCTGATTATTTAGATTAGTACCTACAATCCTGAATACACCTGACAGCATACAGGCATTCTAGGCCCAGTAACAAGTAACTACAGTGAACCAAAGTACACAATCATATGGTTTGGCATTACTAATCCAAAAATTCAAAATCCAAAGTGCTCTGAAATCTGAAACATTTTGAGCACCAACATGACACAGTAGAAAATTCCACACCTGACCTCATATACTGGGCCACACTCAAAACACGGGTACACTAAAAATATTGTACAAAATTACATTCAGGTTATGTGTATAAGGTGTATCTGTAACATAAATGAAATTCATGTTTAGATTTGTATCCCATCCTCAAATAAATCATATATATATATGCAAGTATTACCAAATCTGAAACAACCCAGAGTCTAAAACATTTCTGGTCTCAAGCACTTCAGGTAAGGAAAACTCAACTAATATTTCCTAAAACATTGCACATATACCACTGATACTACAAAAGGTCTCCACATAGCTTATTAGCAAGGAATTAAACCACTAATTAAATGGCAAGCAAATTGCTTGCCCCCTCCTCCCATTTCCTTTTGAACATTTCAGATTACATTAAGGACAAAGCTTGGTTTAGAGTCAGTATGTAAGTTTTCCAACCTGTGCCAAATCTTTTCACTACCAAAGCATAAGCATACCTCAGGCTCAGACCATTTGGAGTAAATATCACCTCCTTCGTTTTAAAAGAGATAAAATGTCTCTTAAAAAAGTGGTATTTAAGGGAAAAGATTTAAAAAGAATATTAAGTAAGTAAGAGTATAGAAGTGTTATCGTAGTATAGTCCCAGAATCAACAGCATCAGGATCACCTCCAAAGTTTTTGGAAGGCTTTAGGTCTTAAGCCATCATCAATATCTAGCAACAGAAGTATAAGTCTCCATCAGCTAGTATGCAAAAATATCTAGCATTCATTAAAACAATACAGCTAGTCAACATGACTTTTATTTGGTCTTTGTTTCATTTTAAGACTCTTTCAAATATTATCGTCTTTTTCCTCCTCTGTAGTCTCGCTGTGGAATCTTCCTCCTTTGCTCAACCTCTATGGTAGAGGGCCTCTAGATTCAGTCCTTGGTTGCTTTCTCTTTTCTATCTACAGTTCATGAGATGATCTTATCCAGTCTCCTAGCCCAAAATCCCACACAGATATAGATGGATCCCAAATTTGTGACATCTCTAATCTATCCTCTGAACACCAGATCCAACATATCCAACTGACCATTCCGTATTTCCTCTTATGTCAAATAGGCATGTTAACCTACATGCCCAATATATATTGTATCAGTATAACACCTTCCCTAACATCTTTCAGCTCTCTGCTAGAACGCAACTAAATGTAACTTCTTGAGCCCTCCATGACTATCCTACATAAAACAGAACCTGTCTCTCCATCCGATAATCCTTCTTAATTTTTTTCCACTGCACACATCACAAATTGTTATTTACATTTACTAAACTATTTTAAGTAAGCTCTATAATAGTATTAGTCTTGTTCCATTTCACCCTTGGTACAAAGAATATACTCAACAAATACTAAAGGGAGAGGAAGAGAAAATTGAGAAAGAATGTATGTTTGAAGGATAAATGTATAAAGGAGATTTTCACCAATGTGTAATTTGAATGATGAAAAGTTACTTACTTTTCCTTTTTCTCTTGTTTGTGGGCCTCTCTTGTAATCTGAGCTGCTTTTCTACTGTATGGATGGATTACTTTTTTTTCCCGTCCTGTACTTTTTCCCTTTAGTGTTTTAGGCTGAAACACAGGAAAACATATAGTCATACGTCAAGTGACTTTAACTATGAAATTTCCTTTAGAAACAAATTTTAAGAATAGAGCTGGGCACCAGTGACTCACACCTATAATCTTAGCTACTCGGGAGCAGGAGGATCGCAGTTCAAAGTCAGCCCAGGGAAAGGGTTCATGAGACCCAATCTGAACAAAACCTGTCACAAAAAAAGAGCCGATGAAGGAGTGGCTCAAGCTTTGGCCCTGAGTTCAAACCCCAGTACCACACACACACACACACATACACAAATAAATAATAATAAAACACAATGAACCAGAAACACTACATTAGCAATCAGGAGATATGCTGTATTTGTTAAGTAATTCTAACAGTCTTTGTTTCTATGGTCATAACAGAAATGATATATTCAAAACTACTCTCCAATAACATAAGACAACAGAAAAAGGCATAGACAAGCCCAATAAACTCAGCTCTTCATCTGTTTCATCTTCAAAGTGGGCACAGAGCATACAAATAGTGAGATTCATGGGTGTAAATTGGTGCATCATTTAGGGAGATTGAGAGGGTAGAAGAATATAGGATATTAGTAGGAATTTGAATGTAGAAGTTACACATGGAAGAGAGTGGGCAGTGAATCAAGCAAAATCAAGGCTGGGCCTAAGGTCTGTGCAAATTAGGAAAAGGAAATAATAGAGGCCGTTTCAAATCAGCACATCCAAATGGGAATGCGTTATTTCCTCACTCAAGCCTTGTATCAGTTAACTAGGTCACCACTCATTCAGTCCTCCAAACTAGACATCTCAGTAATTTTTCTTTTATTTCCACACTATTTCCTGTCTTATCCAACCTCCATTATTTAAGAATCAGGTTTGTCTAGGCATGGTGAAGCATGCCTGTTATCCCAGCTTCTCTAGAAAAACAGGTAAGAGGACCACAGTTCAAGGCCTATCAGGCAAAAGCATGAGACTTCCTAACAAGAAAACTAAAGTAAAAAAGCTGTAAGTGTGACCCAAGTGGTAGAGTGCTTGCCTAACATGAGACCTTGAGTTCAAACCCATTCCAAAAAAAAAAAACAGAAATATATCTATATCTATATATAGATATATAGAGGACCAAACCTGATATATATAGATATAGATATATGTATCGGGTTTTTCTCTGTAATAGAAACACAAAATAAAAATGGCTTAACTCAGATAGTTTCATTCTCTCCTGTTAAATGCAGGTGCTGGAAGCTGTGCTCCACAAAGCCCTCAGGGATCCAGACTCCTACCATAATGTTAGGCTACAACCTCCCATATAGTCCAAGATGGATTAATACCAGATATATGTTCCAGCAAATAAGAAAGAAAGAAAATTCAGAAAATATGGTTCTTTCCTTTCTGAGCATAATCTGGAAATTGTACATTCTTTTGCTCATGTCCCACAGACCAAAATTTAGTGTTACATAAAGGAAATGAATAAATATAATCTTTAATCTATGAAAAAATAATAATCCATTGCTACAGAAGAAAAAAAAACCACTAGGGAATAGCCAGCACATATCTAATCCTCTAAAAGGCCAAGTACCTCTGGAATCTTCTCTCAAAGCTACTGTCAATTGCCTTTATAACCCTCATGATCTCTCAGGTTAGGATGCCCTCTAGGTACCCTGCTTGTCCTTTTTACAAAGAAGCCACAGAGCTCTGTTTAACACTTATCTCCTGAAGTCCCTCTCCCTACTTAAAGAGCTCCATTAACTCTCAGTGTGGTCCTAAATTTTTAGCATGGAAAGCAATCTATTCTCAATTTTGTTCTCTAGTAAGGTTGCTAAGCAAGTGCTCTACCACCAGCTCTTTTTCTTGACGGTACTGGGGTTTGAATTCAAGGCCCCAGGCATGCTAGGCAGGATTTCTACTACTTGAGCAATGCCCCTGACCCTGTTCTGCTTTATTTATCAGATAGGGTCTCATGTTTTTGCCCAGGGATCTTGGCCTTGGCCCTCACACAGCTTGGATTACCAGGCCCAGCTTGCTGGTTGAGAGGGAGTTTTGCTAACTTACTGCCCAGGCTGGTTTCAAACCAGGATCCTTCTGACCTCTGCCTCCAGAGTAGCTCCCAGCTCATCTTCCTTCACTTTCTTGCTCTCATTTGGCTTTGGTTTGCTCTATTGGAAACCAGGTGTTATGCAGTAAACTGCCCTACGGAAAGGCCCCTGTGACAAATAGCTGAGGGAGGCCTCCAACAACAAGAAGTGAAGAACTGAGGCCCTTGTAGCAGGGAGGAGGACCAGAAGAGAGACAGACAGGCCTGTGTTCTGATAACATAGTGGGGGGAAGGGCTGACATAGCAGAGAGATAAAATCTAAAGAATCCAAATGTGAAGAAGGTCACACAGGTAAACCAGGCCTGACTCCTGACCCACAGGAACTATGAGATAGTTAATGTTGTTTTAAGCCACTAAATTATAGGATAACTTCTATTACTCAGGAAAAGACAATATCCAACGAAGGCCAAAAAATAAAGCAAAGATACACTCTTTGAAAAGGTATATTGACCACAGACATCATAACAAATAAAATGCTTTATTTTTAAAAAATGAAAAAAAGGTCACAAAATCCTAAGGGGAAAAAACGACAAATTCTCTGAAGCTGCAATTGCTTTAATAACTGAGGTTGCATAGTTACTAAATTTCAGCAACACATCTAAGTCTACATAAATGTCCTTTAAAGGCTTATAACTTTCATGATTTGAAAGTCTTTGAGTGTAAAGATGTCCTCACAGCTTTAGAAGATTTAGTTGAACTTCTAAGACTTCTAAGACTTGGTACAAAGTACAAAAAACCTGAGCTTACATTCTGCCTCAATTGTAGCTTATAGTAATTTATTTATGAAAAGACTGCCTCAAGGCAGGATATGAATATAAATGAGGTGCAGAAATATGTACAATAACATTTAGTACATTTCAAAACATTTTCATTATTCTTTAGGAAATTAAAATTTAAAGAATCCTTCTACAGGGAAACACTGAAGTCAAACTCTCTCAGTAAGATATTAACTTATTAAACAGTAAAATGCTAGCTCAAATCAGTTGGACAGGACAAGCTTGTTTCTATTTAAACTAAATGCTCCTGAAGGAACCAATTTTCTGTAATGTTGGTCTGGCACTAAAAATCAGCAGCTTGATAGGCTACCCAGATGGATAATAGGGACTGTCTCGGTCTTTATAAAAGGAGCTGTTCTATTTAAAGCAATTCATCAACCACCAAGGTCACTCCAACACACACTCAGGTTAAAAACTGTATCAATTGGATAAATAAGCTCCAAATTTCTTACATATTCAAATTAGGATGTTTCATTTGTAAATCAAGTTTTGAACTTCAAATGTTCTTTACCTTAGAAAATAATCACTACTTCTCAAGCCAAGGATTCAGAGTACTAAACACACAGATGTTACCAACAAGATAAATTTATCAAAGTGCATATGTTATAGTCAAATAAGACAATAAATAGCATTTGATAACATTTGTTCTTTAGATCACAAAAGTTTAGTGGAGCTTTTTAGGGATAACATCTCCTGTGTGTTCAGGTTTTAGGTTAGCATTAAATATTTCAAGTACTCAAAAAAAGTACATAAAAGAAAAAGCACATGAATGTCTTAAAATTTTGGCATGTCTTTCCTCAGTCTAAATTAAGTTCCTCACAGACATATTTAAACATAAAATGAAATCATGTGAGGAAAACATGGTTTATTTCTTTATAGATAAACCTCAGAATGAGAACGATCTTTCCTAAACATTACATAAAATCTGGAAAAAATTTTAAAAATAACTATACACAGAAATTTAAAAGTCTGAACTACAAAACATCATAGACCAAGTGGAAGACAAATAACAAAAAAAAAGTATTTGCAACATAAATAAAATAGCTAATTCCCTTAACTTAAAAAGGTTATAAGATCAGTAAGAAAAAGATCCACAGTCTAAAATAAATGTTAGGAAAATACAAATAAGTAAAAAAAAGTAAAGAGAAATGTTTTGCAACATTTGAAAATGTGTTCTGATTTAAAAGAAATGTAAATCTAACCTTCAATAAAATAAAGCTGTTATGATTGACAAAGGCAAAAATTATTAATATTGTATTAGTGAGAGTAAGAGTCTAATAAATCAGTGAGAACAAACTGGTAATCTTCTGGAGAGCAATTTGATCATTTTCATGAGGAAAATAATGGCACTTTTTTTAACCAAGGAATTCTACTTCTTCTAATTTATTACACAGACATATTAGCAAAGCGGGGGAGGATGTAGTAGTGTTGCAGTATCTGCAGTAGCAAGGGAATGAAAACAGTTTAAATGTACCAGATATATTATTAAAAACAATGCTGTTTAAAAAGCAAGCCTCTTGGTTCAATTTATACTGCTGTAACAGAATACCTGAGACTGGCTAATTTGTAAAGGAAAGTTTATTCAGACTCACAGGAAGCTAAATTCAAGATCAGGTAACTGCATATGGTAAGGGCCTTGTGCTGCTTCATAACATGGAAGGAGTCAGAAGGGGGGCTCCCATGTGAATGGCATTAATCCACTCATGAGGTCTCTGCCCCAGTAACAAAGCACCTCTCACTAGGCCTCTCCTCCCAACACTGTCATATAGAGGAATCAAGGTTCCAATATAGGAACTTTTGGGGGGCACACTCAAACCATAGCAAAGAGAAGGATCGATATACTCACATGGACTGATCTTTAAAATCTAGTAAGACAAAAACAGCAAAGGGCACAGGGTCATGCCTAGTGCACTGTTTATATAAAAGGGGGAATTTGAGAGCTGGAAGCTGGTGGCTCATGTCTGTAATCCTAGCTACTCTGGAGGCACAGATCAGGAGGATTACAGTTGGAAGCCAATCTAGGTAAATAGTTTGTGAGACCCCATCTCAAAAACACCTCCCCCCCCCACACACACAAAAAGGCTGGCAGAGTGGCTCAAGTGGTAAAAGCACCTGCCTACCAAGAGAGAGATCCTGAGTATCAGATCCCAGTATCACCAAAAAAAAAAAAAAAAAAAAAAAAGTGGGGAGGGGTGAAATGTGAGAACCTACCTATCTGCTGCTACCTGCATATAAAGTATCTGAATGGATAGCTAAAAATTGATAGCATGGCTGTGGTAGGCAAAATAATGCCGTCTCATCCCTAAAATATATCCATGCCCTAATTCCTTGACCTGTTAATATATGATCATACATGGCAAAAGGGACTTTGTAGATGCACTTGAAAATCTTGAGGTGGAGAGATTATCCTGAATTACCCATGTGGACCAATATAATCCCAAGGTCTTTACAAGAAGGCAGGACGACCACTGTCAGAGATGTGGTCTTTGGGAGAGAAAGATTTGTAGTCAATATGCCACTGGCTATGAAAACGGAAGGACCCAAGGAATAAGGATGGCCTCTACAAGTTGAAAAAAGCAAGGAAACAGATTCTTCACTTGAGCCCCTTGAAGGAAAACAGTCCTACCAACACCTTGATTTTATCTCAGAAAAGCTCATTCTTGGACCTTAGACCTCCAAAAATGTAAGAAAACAAATCTGTGTAATTTTGAGCCACTGATTTTGCACTATTTAAGAAACCGTACACTTTTCGAAGACAACCATTTTTTAAAAACCATATATGTAAAATTATTCCCCCAAAAGTTGGTATACAAGGTAGATTTTCATGAATTCTTTACTTTTACAAATTTTGTAATAATCTCTTTGAGATTTCTGAAACTAACTTGTGGCTGTAGCTCACATTTAAAGGGGTGAGTCCAACAGCCCTCAATTTCTGCCAGGAAGGAATCTGTAGGTAGTCACTAATGCTTGATGCCTACAAGTGATACACATAAATGTGACACATGAAGGGAGGATGGTGGCACACTTTTTTTCAACATTTATAATCTACCTAAGGAAGGGGGGGGGCAGCAAACTTAAACTCCGTAACAGGCTTATGTTAAAAAAATAAAAATAAAAAAACATATCCGTAAGTGTGTAGCAGCATGGTACAAACCAAACGTAAAACCACTGGGTTTTTTTTTGTTGTTGTTTTTTTGATGTGGTACGGGGGCTTGAACTCAGGGACTACACTTTCAGCCACAGCACCAGCCTTTTTTTTTTTTTTTTTTGTGATGCGTTTTTTTTGAGATAAGGTCTCGCGGACTATTTGCCCAGGCTGGCTTCGAACTGTGATGCTACTGAGCTCTGCCTCCTGAGTAGCTAGGATTAAGTTTTGACATAGAAAAACTTGCTGAGCTCCTGGAAAGATTCACAGTGGAGAATATAAAAAAGCACAAAATAACAAGTGAACTTCAATTACTCTATTGCTACTTACTCCTGACACTAAGTACATAGGCATACTAACATTTACTAAGGGAAAGGCGATGAGCGGATGCAAAGGAGAGGAGATTGAGCCGGGGCCTATCCGCGCCGGCCACCGGGTCAAGGATAGGGGAGTGAGTCCGGCAAGTCCACCTCCCGTTTGCATTGAATGGAAGTGGGAATGCGGAGGGTGCGAGGTCTCCCCGGAGAGGGGAAGGACCAGAGAGAAGTTGGCCACCAAAGCCAGCACGTGAGCACTTCGACCCTGGAGCACGCGCCAAGCCCACTGCAGTCAGTGCCCAGTGTAATCACTTCGCACCCCCTCTCTCCCGTCTGCTTGACCAGAGCCTTCCTGGGAACCAACCCGGCGGACTCAGGAAACGGAATGAGGCCCACCATTGTGACGTTCCAGCAGCCACCGAGAACCTCCGCAATCCAAAGCCGAGGCCTCACCACAGCAGCTGCAGCAACTCAAGCCCCTCACGCCTACCCGCACACACGTGGGGCGAAGGAAGTGGCCGCGACCGGAAAGGGAAGGGCAAGTGCGTCTCTTTAAAGCGTCCCCGGAAACTTAGTCCTTGTCTTTTTCGTCCGTATTGGACTTTCCAGCTCTAGCCAATGGACCGCTCTCGCCGTGTGCTCGCGGGGCAGGGGCGGGACTTTGGGGAGGCACTTTGGGGCGGGAGGGCGAACTTCCTCTGTGCCGGCGTGGACCTTGAGCGTCTTCACGGAAGCTCACCTCCGGAGTCCGTAGAGTAAGCTCCTCGGATGACGGGTTTTGTGTAGCGCTCGGGCATCACAGGGGTGGGCCCGCCAGGAGGCGGAGATGGTCGCGCCCTACCGAAGTCGGCCTTGTTTTCCCTGCCCTGAATTACCGCGGCCAGGGCTTTTCTGCATTTATTAGTTTCCTAGTGCCTAGAGGTCCTCCCACGCAGACAGTTATTTCACCCAAAAGTTTATTGAGTGGGTATCGAGGATGCCCTGGCAACACCCCTGCCTCACACAGCGCAGATTCCAGGGGCCGTGCAGAAAAGCCAAGTACTTAAATAGGATAAGGACTGAAGGAAACTGTGCTGGTGGGGTGGGCAGGAAAGCTGTTCTGCACGCGGTAGTCTCTAAAATCCTCTTTTGAAAATGACAGCGGGGAGAGACGAGTAAGGGAAAAATAGCCATGGGAAGAAGCTCCAGGCAGAGTGAATTTAGGCGTGCTTAGATATTTGAGCAAGCACATGTATTAGTTGAACAAATACTTATATCCACCGTTTAAGCAGTTGTTTAAATTGTAAACGGGAGTATGTCCCAGTAGATTCCAGAATCTAAGAGCAAGGCATTTTTACATGACTTTTTTAAGTGTGTGTTATGTGAACTTACACAATGAAGTCGTCTTGCAACATAGTCTTTGAGGACGGTACAATACTTGAGGGAGCCAGTTAATCCAGAATGTTAACACCTTACCTTAACCCTCTAACCACTCCCTGTGACACCAGCTTTCTCCCACCCTAACCCATTCTCAAAATCTGGCACAGTACAATCGGCCTCCTGAGTTCAGTGTTATGCAAATCTGTGAAACATTAAATCCTCTTTCTGGCTGTTATTTAGCTGGTATCTATTGCTCTCTTGACCACAAAATTCCTACCTGCCATGTGTTCCTAAACAGGAGACATCTTTACAAATACTTTCCTATACTTCTAATAAATACACTAACGTGTGAATGTATTGTGTGTGTTTAAGGATAAGTATTGATTAACACTAGATATTGATACAGTATGAATACATGCACAACTTCTACTAAACTACTAAAAGAACAGAATCTATTTAACTTTGCACACTAAACACAAGTAGAGAAAACAAATGGAATGATGAAAAATATTTACATAATTCAAACCATATAAAGGAGAAAAAAATGAAACAATAGAGCAAATAAAAAGCAAAAATATAGCAGATATAAATCCATAAAATTGTTGTAATCCAAGTAATTGTTGATTTACTGCCCCAATTTGAAATCTACACATCTGTGCCCTGTTTATAAGACATATGTAAAACACAAAGATATAAAGAAACTAAAAAGATGAAAAGAAAAATGAAAGAATGCTGGCATGGATACGTTATTCAAAATATACGGTGGAGAAATGACCCAAGCATTGTATGCACATATGAATAATAAAATATATATCCATCACAAAAAAAAATAGATGAGCTCAGACAGTATTATGTAAGGTAAAAAGAATAATCTCATAATGATGAAAAGTTTCCAGTTTAAATTCATATGCATCTCTAGTAATATAGCCCTAAAATATATATTGGAAAACTGTTTCAATTTCAGGGAGAAATAGAAAACCCAACAGTTTTTAGTGGGAATTTTCGAATACTCTTTAACATAGAATAAGCAGATAAAATATCAACAATGACATAAAATTTAAGTACAATTTAAACACAATTTAACATAAATGTATATAGACTACTGCTTCCAGTGCTTACAAGAATACACATTTTCAGACATGTGGTTTAATTAACAAAATTATCATACATTGGGTCAGAAATTAAGTCTAAACAGTGTCACATACCTGTAATCTCAGCTACTCAGGAAGCAGAAACAGAAGGATTACGAGTTTCTGCCAGTCCTAGCAAAAGTAAGCAAGATCCTAGCTCAAAAACAAAAGCGAAAGGTCTGGCAGTATAACTCAAATGGTAGAGCACCTGCCTAGCAAGCATGAATGAGGTCCTGGGTTCAAATCCCTGCTACCACAAAAGAAGAAACTAAAGTCTAAACACATCTGTTGTTCTTTGATCACCATGTAACTAAACTAGAAATCAAGAAGATAGCTAGAGAATTTTCACATACTGAGAAATCAAGAAGTATGCTTCTAGCCTGATATCTGTGCTTCACGTTTATAGTCAAGCTTAACTACACCAGAGGCTGAGATTGGGAGGTTCGTGGTTCCAGGCCAGCCAGAGCAAAAAAAGTTTGCAAGTCCCATCTCAACATAAAAAAAGAAAAAAAAAAAAATCTGAGTGCAGTGGTGCATGCCTGTCATCCCAGTAACAGTGGGAAGCATAAAATAGGTGGATCACAGCCCAGGCTGACCTGGGCAGACGTTTATCTCCAAAATAACCAAAACCAAAAGGGCTACAGGCATGGCTCAATCTGTAGAGCCAGCCTCACAAGGGCCAAGTCCTGTGATTAAACCCCAGTAACACCAAAAAGAATAAGAAGAAGAGAAAAAGAAGGAGTTGGAGAAGAGGAAGAAGGGAAATTATGCTTCTAAGTCATGGGCTAAAGAAGAAGAAATCTTGTATGATGGAAGGAGTGAATTCAGCTATGCTGTATTTGATATTTTGTAAGAATTTTGTAAATGCCACAATGTACCCCTAGCACAATAATAAAAAATAAAAAAGACATCCTAATGGAAATTAGAAAATAGTTTGGGTCAAATGATAACAAAAACACTAAATGTCCAAATTTGTGGAATGCATCTGAAACAATAATTATATTCTTTGGTGTACATATTAGAAAAGATGAAAATTAATTTACTGAGCATCGATATATCAAGGCATTTGAAAAAGAGTCAGTCATGGTCCCAATAACCACAAAAATCATGGCTGAGGGTCTACATAATAAGCCTCTGTCTCAAAACAAAAGAAAGAAAGAAAAAGGAAAACAAAATAAATTCAAGAACAAAGAGCAGAAATTATTGAAATAGAAAATATACATAAAATTGAAGAAAATAGGAGAGACAAAAATACTTTGTCAAATAACAAATCCCTTTGGGATCACTAAAATAGAAAAGGAATGGGAGGAGACACAATTAACCAAGACCAAAATTGAAACAAGTGAAATCAGTTCTGGTTGTGTATGCATAATAGGGTATTGTAACAAAAATGTGTGCTACTGAATTTTAAAATTTAAATAAAATTAAAATTTTCTTAGAAAAAAATATAGCCTATCGGAACTGACACAGAAGAATGGAAAACTTGAATAGTCCCTCACTTTTTAAAACATGGTAACTAAAATATCTCTTCACACTAAAATTACAGGCCAAGATTTTTAGATTTTATAAGTGCACACTAATTTAAGAATAGAGCATCTTAATATGATAAAAATGTGGATTAGAAGAAGTAGTTGGTGTCATTTTCTCATTACTGACCTCAAAATACAAACTTTTGTTTAGCCAAAACAGCTTGGCATAATCTAGAATGTTGAAATGTACAGCCTCTAAACAGCAGTGCCATTTCTATAAACCTTTGAACTCCAACACATATCTCTCAGGATACATATAAAAGAACAGCAGCACTGTTCACAGCAGTATTGATCATAATACCCCACATGAGAGAAAAGCAAGTTATTCATTAACAGAAGATTTGAAAAATATATTGTGGGAAATTTTATGTAGCAATGGACTGAACGAATCACAACAATGCTAACAATATGAATACCTTTTAAATCACAGTTCAAAAATGATACACAATCTACATGTACAGAATAATTCCATTTATATAAGTTCCAAATCAAGTATGATGAATTGTTTTACTTTCATAGTTAGCCAACAATGTTTTTTAACCCTATGTGGTGGTTACCTTGGTATTTCATTTGTAATTATTCTTTATGTTCCACGTTTACATGTAACACGGCTTTATGTTTGTGTGTGGGTACCAAGATCAAAAGATGCCCAAGTCCCTATATAAAATGGCATAGTGTATAACCTACATACATCCTCCTGTATGTTTAAAATTATCTCTAGATCACTTATAATACTTGACACAATATAACACTATGTAAATAGTTGTTATACTATATTGTTTAGGGGATAATGACAGAAAGAAACCATCTGTACATGTTCAGTACATACACAATTTATTTTTCCTAATATTTTTCATCTGGTGCTAGTTGAATCCAGAGATGCACTTGTCTCTTGAATCTACAATAATTACTATTGTGAATTCTCAGTTAATTTTTGTTTCTTGTGGGTGGTGTAACTTGTTTGTGGAATCAATAATTTCAGCTGTATTTGTTCTTCTTCAATTTCACTAAACATGTCCAGGAATTGGTATTTCCTTATATATCTTTGTTACTCTGTGACATCTTTCAATTTCCTTCTAAAATTTGCATTTTCTGAACCTGGATCATTCTGTTCTCATTATTGTGTTGCCCTTCATTTACATTTTTCCATCTCTTCATTTTTTTCTGCTTTCTGGAAGGGGTCCTAATTTGATCTTCTGGTTTACTATTTTCATCTTTGATATAACCTATTTTGCCATATATTTCATCTGTTGTCATCTTCACTTTGCTTATCTCATTTTTAAGATATAATATTTATACTTGAAAAGTAATTTTGCATTCTTTGCTACATTGTCAATATCTTGCTGAACTTTTCTGGATAAATATAGTGCTTGTTTTTTAAAATATTGTCCATCTTTTCCAGTAAATATATACTTCATGTAGCATGTTGCTCAATTTTTAAAATGTTTCTAGTATAATAGTTATACTCCTCAGAGATTTATTTTCTTTAGAC